CTGGAAGAAAACAACAGAATATTCTTTGCTTTCTAGAAAAATCACTGAATTTTAGAATTTAGGAAGATGGGATTGTTTTTTAGAGCATTCCAGTGTCAAAAAGGATGATATAGGTAGTAACCCACAGTATGTAATGTTACTCAGACAAACCTGATAGCTGTCATTAATTAAATATATCTATATATCTCTGAGAACTTCATGTAGGTTTAGCCTTTAGTGATTTTTTTTAATAATATGGAAATCTGTTAATAAGTAACATTGTTAAGATTATTAATTTAGGATAATTTGATAGGAACATAATTGTGTTTCATAGGTTTGGCAAATAGAAAACAGAGAAAATTATTTGTATCATTTTAAGAAATAGGAAGCAAGCTCCTGGAAAGCTTTATGCAGGAATCGCTGTGTTTAATAAAAGCTGAAAAATGAAACAAAGTAAACATATGTTGCTTACATTTTTAGTTGACACTGAATGAGGCAGCATTACAAGTGCGTTGAAGGATACCATGGAAATACAAAATAATCTGGAGGGTAATGGGCAGTTCTAAATGGGGTTTAAATTTAGATAAACATTACATAATGCATTCCAGACACATGGCATTATATATAAGCATTGTTGCTGCAGAATGCTAGATAATGTTGTTTAAGCTCTTCAGCCCTCAATACTCCTCCTTCAAGTCACTTTTTAGACATAAGTAGATAGAAATCTGATTGTAGTATTGCTGGAAAGGGAGACTGCTTGTAAGAAGCCCCTGACTCTGTGCTTAAAATCTCTTGAGTGTAGCTAAGGTGATGTATATGTTTACCTACCCAGCCAAACACAGAAAAGAAAAGTATTGGTAACAGTATCAGTTGTCCCACAGTCTAGAAAGCTTAGGCTTCTTTCAAAATCAGACCCTGATATGAGTCCAAATAAGATTTCTAACAATAGCAAAGTTATTCAGTTAACCATTCGTCTTCCAGCCCTCGCTCACTGACGACAGAGACTGGCAGATATAGGGACTCCACGTGCAGTCACCTGGTACCAACACTCTGCATGAGCTATAGCTGTGGGTTCCTTTTTAATGTAACTACAGTTTGATTCCTGCCACAGATAGAACTTTATTTTGTCCCTGTCTTGATTGCATTTACCACCACTGTGGACTCATTAGTTAAGCGGTAGATTGTCCCTCTAAATATGAATTGGTTTTGTTTTAAATACTTCATATTGGTTTGAAAGCTTTCAAGCACATGTTTGAGACATCACATGGAATATCAATGGTAGGATGATACTTTCAAGTAGATAAGCATGTAAAAACACATGGCAGTTCAAAAGTTAGTAATGTGTATCAGGCGTTACAGTTGCTGAGAATGAATTTTTACGAAGGACTGCCTGTTCACCTAAAAGAAAAATCATTAAAGGTCCTTTGCTGTGGGTTAGAACCTGAATGCAGCATTGCAAAGCAGGTCACTAGTTATTTTCCCGTACTGTTTTGCAGTCTGTGGATTGCTGCCCACTTCCCTGCATAGTTTCTATTTTGCTACTGAAACTTCAGATTGACCCTTCCTGGAGAAGGTGTGGAACAGCATGCAAAGCCTACTGCGGTCTTTTTCTTGGCTGGAGGAGAGGAAAGGAGACATTTTTTTGAGTTTTCTCTTTCGAAAGTTCTCATAAACATTTCTTTTCGCGGCAAAAGATGTAGAGCTCTCTGGGAAAAAAAGCAATTCTCAAGTAGATGGTGGTCATTCAAATGTGGGTCATTTTGACTTGGTATATCATAGGCTTAAATTTCCATGAATAATTACTGACAATAAACAAAACTTCAAGACTTTACAGTGACAAAATTACTCCAGGAACAAAAGGTAAGGAAGGCTTTCCCAAACTGTGTAAAGCATAAATGGAGCAAATGGATTCGATTTCAGTGGGGCTACCCTGCTCTGATAGCTCTCCCTTACAAACGTTGTCATTAAAAACTGACATATTTCTCCATGGTCCTGATAAAAAACTCTGATAGCGTGGGGGTCAGTGCAAAGCAGAATAAAACAAGTACGAACAAAATGTAGTGCCAAGCAGCAGTAACTGTAAGCACGTAATTTGGAAAACATACAGCCAAATCAAGTGTGGAAATCAGAATTAAAAAACCAGGAAATTAAATAGCAACAGAAAAATTATTTGAGTCTGACACTTATAAGTAAGTGTGCAGGAAGTGAAAGAAATGTCTGAATAGACAGTTGCAAATTGAGATAATAAAGTACACATTGCTGAAGTTAGCCAGTACAGCATCCAAATGCCAAGGTGATAAATAGCAAATAATGCAAATAATGAAGAGTCTGTGTTCACAGGCGAAGCACAGTGCTTCTGTTCTGTACAGAAGCACCGGCTCTGCCGGTTTCTCCTGTTCTTTTCACATTTGCCATATGTCGTCGATGATGCTTGCTGAAGAGGCCGTCAGGGAAGTGTCTCAGCACAGCCACGTGCACACACTTCTGTTTGGCTGGTCGAAGGCCTGCTCAGGAGCATAAACACTGTTCTTGTGCCTTACCCTCCTGTGCCTATTTAGTTCCTCTTGCTGCGTCGTCTCTCGGCGACAGTACAGTACTGAGGCTCTGCTCAAGTGTGTCGCTGAGACATGCCTTGGCAGCGTTCACGTCTGAACAGTCGCTCCTGTTCTGGTCTGCTGGAACTCCTGACTGTGAGTACAAAAGGGGCAGAATAGCAGGAAGTGCAAGTTGAAAAAAAAAGGTGAGAGATAAGGCAGCCAAGGAAAGCAATGCTCATTTACCTTCTGTTCCATTGGCTTCTTCCTGCTGTGACTTGCTTCTGCCCAGCTTCATGTGACAAAGTTTCACTAGCTTATTACTCATGTCACTGTTTAATTCCTTAACTAATTGATACTGTATGTTTGGACAGGATGTGTGATTTGCTTCTCGGATATAGTAATATAGAAAATTCACAGACATTCAATAAATAACTGTCCTATCCTGGCAGTATGTTTTCCTGATGCTGGTCATTTAGAACATTAGCTTTTAAAATGTCTATTGCAGCAGTGGCAATAGTATTAGACTATTTTTATATGGGAATAGTCTGGTTGTTCTATCATCACAAAAGGATGATCAGTGTCTAGTTTATCTATGTGCAGACTACATTATTGTCTCACAAAACAATGTCCCAGTGCTAGGATTGCTTCATTAAGTTTATGCTACATAGACATAATTATGCAGGAGCTAAGAATAGCTCATCTAATTGAAAATAATGATTATAGAGAAAGAACGGGTTTGATTACTGTTACTAAGCAAGCACATACCGCACAACCATTCATGAACTGCATGGAACACATATGGGATTATACGGTGTATTTGTTTTGATTAACAGTTTCTTTCCCCCATCCTGAGTACAAGTCGAAGGTGTTACTGCTTATTTGCTCATTATCTTTTTTCTCAGAGACCTAGAGGGACCTGCGAGAAGGCAGCATGAGCTGATATTTGTCCAGTAAATTATGACAAGCTAAGCTTTGAAATAACATTCAACATTTATCCCCGCACACATTTTAGGGAGGATGTAACTTAAATAAATCTTCTCCAGGCACCACAGATGAAACTGTCTATGTGGTTTTTTTATGTCTGTGTTTATACTAGTACCCTATGGGATTAAACATCCTTTTAGAAATGCAAAGTCTGCCGTACTGTTAATCTCTTGGTGCTCATTCTGGTTAATGCTAACATTTAATTCTTGCTTTGTCTAAAACACATAGAACTCTTCTTTATTCCTTGAAAATAAAACTGAATTTTTACAACAAAGTTGTTGAAAGTTTTCATTTATTTGATTGCTCTTGATTAGTATCACCAGGCACACGGGATAAAAGTTGCTGCTGTCCTCTTAACTAATTTTTTTCTTACTTAAGTGTCAGTTTTCTACTAGAATGTTAGGAGAAAATTCCTGAGATCATGAAATTTAATATATCTGGTTTAGAATTGTTATTAATATCTCTAGAGGCTCAAAAAACTCTGCCGGTTTGCCATGTTTAGCTTCCCCTCCGTTCTAATGAACCATTTCATAGCTCTAAGCTATGTGCTAATGCTGTAGAGGCACAGAGAGATCACTGCCATCAGGAATTTTTAAACAGATGACTGTTTAATAAATGAAGTGGGGATGGAAGATGGGACAAACAGTGATGCAATCCTGCAGCAACACAACTATCAATTTGCACAGTCTGGAATCAGAGGCACTTGCACAAGCTGTTCTTGAGGCTTTTTAAGAAATGGCAGAAGGAAGGAAGTGGAAGCAGAGAGCAGGTTACTTTACGAAAGTATTCCAAACTGTTGTCTTGACTTCAGAAAAGTTGCTTTTTCAGATTGTTTTGGATTTGAAATTCAGTGAGTTACAAGAATTGAAAACTGTTAAGTCGCCATTTATACAAATGCCTATTGAAGCATCAAACACGTTTTCCATCCTGTTCCTTTCCAACATGGTCTGATTGTGGAAGACATTTCTCATTTTTTTGGGCCAACATACCTCAATTTTGCCCTTCAAAAAATTTGATATGGCACCCAGCATTGAACATTAACTTTGAAATGTTGTAAAGGTAATAGCATTCCACAGTCCCCTTGAACACGATGTATCCTGGTCTCACAGACCCCTATTTAGGAGTCAGTGTGGTGACCCAGTCTGACCTTCTGTACACTTCTGTACACATTCTGGTAACGTGGATTAAAATCATAATCCTAGGTTTTGGTCAGATACTATTTTTTTCTAGTTAGAAATTTTAATTATAAGCTTGGGCTGTAAATTGTGTACCTACAAGTAAATGTGATACAAGGCTGAGCAGGGCTGAAGAACTGAGAGGACTAATGTGTTGATTCTGAAATACTTTGACTGATTTGCAGTTACTCACAGCAAGTGGGCATAAGAGTGCACTATACAGTATAGTCTATGGTAGCTGAGGACAGTAGTCCTTTGCTCTCACATTATTGATGCAACTCATAAAAGACTCCTCTGCATATAAACTGTTTTCTACTCTGTACAGAACTGCACATGCAAGAGCTAAAGCTGATGCTGCGGATCAGGCTGCTCAGGCTGCTCGCCAGGAATGTGATATTGCAAGAGCAGTTGCCAGAGAACTTTCACCAAATTTCTACCAACCAGGTAATTACAGATTGGGGTTTTTGTGGCTATTTTTTTTTTCTTGCAGTGAAAGGGTTCTGTGTTAAGTTAAAAAGTTGATTTCATTTTGAACGTTGTCATTTATACAGAAACAATAGTCATGTGTAGGTAATGAAGAGCGTACGTTGCTCAAGGAGATTTTGTTTTCATTTTTAAATCATTTGGTGACTATTGCTTTGTATCAACACAGTTGAGTGTCGAAAAGTCAGTATCAAGCATACAACTTTGCCTCAAATTAATAGCTTCTTCAAGACAGTGTCAGAGACAGACTTCAGAGAACGTAAATCAACAGAGATTTGGGTTATTTCTAGAATGTGTTTATTAGGGGAAAGATCCTTAGCTTTTTTACTGTCCAAGGGAATTCTTGACAGTCTTGGTTAGCTAAGGCCTGAGTTCTGGAGAAATCTTTACCATTACACATACATAAACTGTGGGGGAATCTTCTGTTATGCCTGTGGTGCTCTGTGGAACATTAGTCCCATACTCAAGATATCATAGAATTAATCTGTGTCACCTATATCAACATTGCAACTCATTTTTACCTGTCACATGGTTTGGAAAGTTGCTATAAAAAGAAGCAAAGTGGTTTTTGCTTTGTTTTTCTGGTGTCTTTCCATGAGGTTGATATTTTTGTGTACAGCTTTTTAGCTTAAGATTGAATAAATAAAATAGAACTCCACTTGCCAATTTAATGTATTTTCATAAGTCTGTCCTTTCTTTCACCTGTCAAATGAGTTGAGTCATATCTTGTTATTACTTTTCAAGGACTTGCCTGCACTTGTATGCTAATATAGATTATAGCTCTGAGATTCATTTTCACTTACCTTCATCTTCTGCACATCCTTGTTTCAGACACAAACCCCTTTATCCTTAAATGTACCCATATGGTGGATGCAGGCTAGTATCATGACCCGGAAAATCAAAGAACAGCAACATATTCTAACAATCCACCTATTTCCTTCAATTTTTAGTATAAATGATCACTATATATAACTTGCTACTAAATCATTGCTGTCAGTTAGCTTAAAGAATACTTGTTTTCTTCTTTATTTCTAAGTATTTAGTTGTAGAGAGCAATCTGTGTATTTTGGGGTTGGGAGGGTTGGGGCGCTCTTTTTTATTTGTTTAGTGCATAAGTCAAGGGCTGGTGACCTCATGCAGGTTAGAATCTCCATTCCCCTTATCAGTCTTGCAGCCTTTCTTTGTACCCATCCTGATATAAATTCATCTTGCTTGAACATGGCTGTCCAGAACTGCAGGTAAAGCTCAACAGAACTGTTTCCAGCTAGTAAGACTTTACTAGCTTTAAAATTGTATCAATACGTACCTTTCACTGTTGGAAATGACCTCAATGCAACCTCTCCTGTGGACTTATAGTAGTGGCCCATACTTACTCCTATGATACCCAAGTTTCTTTCTTTTTTCATTATTTCATTCTGCCATTAACTGATGAACTCCCAATTTATAGCAGCAGTTCATCTTATCGGTCATAAGTTAAGAAGTCGTAAGCTTAGCCATGCAAAGAACTATTAACAGGGACCCTGTCAAAGGAAAACTTGATAGAGAATAGAAGTAAGAGGGAATTAAAGCATTTGGAATGAAAGTATTTCGAAGCTGTCAAATCCTTGAAATAAAGAAATGGCTAGAGTACTTGAGACAAAATGCAAACATCTGATAGTGTGAAATTTGACACCAAGAAATCCCCCAGATAATGAATTTGTTAGGTGTCTCTTTTTTACTTCCTACCACAGGATATGAAATAGCATTGCTGTCAAATTGGCTGAGATTTGGGGATAGAAGGTGCGGGATTCTTATTTTCCTCTCATTTAAAACTTCTATTCCAGTTACAGAAGGGAAGAGTTTGTATCCCTTCCCCAAATGCAGCTGTGTATGTGTACAGTGATGTAACAAAACATTTCTCAAAGTCTACTTACTCTATTCTTTGTGTGGAAATGTCTTATCAGTTAGCCGGCTACCCTTCAAAAGATAAATACCTCTTTTGGAGTCTAAATTTTAAATTTCCTCGTTATTTTCAAGATGGCCAAATACAGCATATTTGTACACATTTGAAAAAAAATTGCTATTCCCATTGCTTAAGTAACTTTAAGATGCCAAGATGTTAACTAAATTTCAATTATCCCAAATAAGCTGCAGCAAAACACCAGATTCATACATCATTGTGATCCTTTCAAATACTGTCATGTCAGAGATACTTTCCATCCTCAGTGTTCACAATGCCTTTTTCAGATACATTCTTTCTGAGTGGTACCAGTTAACCCTGAGACTCACCTGTACACATACTTGCTTATTTAAGTATTTCCCAAGTGTCATGCCATGAGTTACTGGACAATGTTATCAATAGCTTTTGTCATTTATGGTAATAAAATAGATAAATATTTTTAAGTATTTACGTTCGCTTACACAAACAGCAGTAAATATCTGCTTTTCAAATAGCATTGTTCGTATGTTTGAATGAAAACAAGGTAACCATTATCGCTTCCTAATAGCAACTTCTCGTTTTTCTTCTGTTGCTTGAGCTTTTTATTTTTACACTACCTTTATGAGTTTCTGTTAGTGCTACTAAAAGTTAATGATAAGTATTGTATCCCAGTCTCTGAAACTATAGTTAAGAGAAAACTTTCCATTGTGCTAAATTGTCTTGAAAATAAATTATTGTGGGAAAGTATGATTTTTCTCTCATTGCTTGAACTGCTTAGTACAGTAGGCAAGCATGCTGTCAGCATCAAATAAATGTATGTAGTATATCAATAAGTCTCTTGAAAGAGAGAAAAAAAAAGTGAAGTACAAATACCTCTCTGTAAACAAGTTAAGTGTTTTTTTCTGTCTAAATGAGTGATCTCTGCATTACCTGTGGCCTAAGTCCATTTAAATATTTGAAAATCTTTTGATAAAGCTCTTAAATTTCAGATTCTTAAAAAGCAACCTTCTGGGCCATACAGCCTAGTATTACACACAATTTATAATTGCAGTGAATATTCATCACTCATCGTACCATGGCAGTTCTTCCTTCCCAATTACTTTCTCTCACGTTTCAATTTCATGTTCATTAAGACATTCGTCAGAAGCTGCCAAGAGGTTCTAGCTTTGTAATGTAGTTTAAAAGGAGATTGAAAGGAGAACAAAGCAGTAGGAAGCAAAGTAGCATTCAGCGGGGGAGAATAAAAATGTCAGTCTGAATCATGAATATTGAGGTACCGTAGAAATCTTGAGATTTAGCTTTCCCAGTAATTGATTACCTTAATATTTGCATATAAGGAAAGCAAGTATGATGGAAAAGGTCAGTGCCATGGTGTAAGGTCTTATAAGGTTACAGGGAGCTGTTTTCCCTAAGCTTGTTCGCGCTAGTCTCAGGCAAGACCCTGCTTCGACATTTGCTGTAGCAGAGATTTGGCTAGTGATTAATAGCTATGAGGATGGTGTATATTTGCAGAGCCCTACCCACAATGCTATACGTTTTGTAGATTTAACAAATGTTGCAGTCTTTATAGAGGCCATACTTTACAGGCCTTTTTATCACCAAATAAAAAGAATTTTGAGAAATCCCAGCTCTGTTTGTTTCCTCCAGGCATCACTAAACTTGTAGATGTGTCAGAAGAGAGCATACCAGGACAGGAACCAAATGAAACCTGAGTCATATCCTTATTCAAGGGAGTCATCCAAGGACAGTTTGAGATTGTCTTTGCTTAGAGAAAAACAATAAAAGCTGTTTAGTGTCTCTTGTTAAAACAGAGAAGAGCAAATGACTAATGGGAGTGCTGTATCAAAGGTGTAACAGAAAAAAAAAGCTTTTGACGCCCAGTAAAAAGGGGGCATATTGTTCTACGCTTGCACAAGGTTAATGGATGCTTTGACTTACCCATTCATTCTAAATTCTAGAGGTCATCTCTAGGATATAGTCTTGTAAACTACTAGGAGGTAAGCTAAAGTATGGACTTGCACAGACTGGACGGCTAAGCCATAATTGTCTGCGTGCATATATATCCTGCAGCAAATGGATACTGCTCTTTCATTCAGTTTGAATGAGTAACATTTGATTAAATGAAAGAGGGGTAGAACTACTTTGCCGCAGGGTAAGAGCAGTCTGGGCACTTTACCATGGAGCAATTAAGGTCTGGAAGTTCAGATCTGGATTGTTTTATGGCAGATTATTTGTCAGGCCAACCAGCTGCCAGGCGAACATACATGGCTCACCAGAACAATTAATCCAGCCTTTGACCTCCTAAACAAGGCAAGAGAGAAATCAAGGAGCAGTTTATCAATTAACGCTCTCTAAAGAGATGGACAGAATTTCTTTAGGTGAAATATATGAGCAGAGAACAAAGATTTTCTAATGAAAAGAATAAGAATTTGTCATTTTTTACCAGCATTTTTTCCTGTAACATCTGATTACTGTTACAGCATCAGTATTAACATGCTGAACATCACTTGTTTCAGAAATAAGCATTTTAAGCTTATGATAAGGCAATTTCTAATGGCCTCTAATGCCTTAAAGAGCAACTGTGTTTTCCATTCCCTTTTGACCAGTGGTGGATGTCTATAGCCTTGGAAGAAAACACATCCTTCCCATCTTCCTCCTCTCTGCCACCTCCACCTCCTCCAGTTCACAAAATGCAAACTCCATATGGACAGGAAAGAGAGATATCTGCCTGATGCTAATTAACTGGAATGTACTGGCTAAATGCATGTGGACCAGGCCAGATTTTTTTATTTAAAAAGCCAACTACAATGAGCATTTTGCCTGATTAGAGTTACCAGCCATGCCGTCAGTTTGTGCCTTAAAGCATACGGAAGCTCACTAGTTATTCTTAGTCATACGAGAGCCTGTTCATTTTCTGAAATTACTCGACATACGGCTTCATCATCCTCACACAACTGTTGTCAGGATTCTTGCTATGGCATCTTTTCTCTACGGTTTATTGCTTCCGTCCTCTTTCTGCACAACTCTGGAGAAGCCAGAGCCT